GAAGTTAACTCAGATGTCTAGGAATATTTTCAAGGCAGGCTTTTTACCAGCTTGCTGCTTGGATTGGGAACTTAGCATCATTCCCAGCTCCTTCCCAGGATCATCTATATTGAAACAATTCCTCTTCTCAGCTGTGAAGCCAGCGGCATCTTGGAAATAAAGCTCTCAAAAGCTGAAAACCTGCAAGATGGCTGGTCACTCCCAAAACAAATGAGGTCACCAATGGAACTTTGTTAGGAAAAATAAAGAAACTTATTATGGGTCTGCCCTTCCCCAAACAGAGAAACTATGAAAAAATTTATCAGGTTTCCTCATTTCTGATCAATGATCTGAAGCATTCTTCTTATAATTCCATCTGCTAGATTCCATGAAATGTTTATGGAGTCACAGAGAACCAGTGAGGAAGTTTCTAAACCCACACTTGCAAATGAAAAAAACCCCAAACCAAAAAACCCAGGTGATCTCAATAACATTCAGTGGGCAGGTGTGTAAGTGCATGGCCTGGTTATAGAAGGACAGAAAAGTGAGAAAATACAGGACCAGGAGGGGACAATCATGCCACCCATATTCGATTTCCAGTTTTATTTTCTTAAAATGACAAGATGAAAAAACTTCTAATAAGCACCATTGAACAACATTGCCCGGCCAACATGAGCACGAGCTTAAATATTATTTAAATAAATTCCATTTCTTAAAAAATACAGGGCCTCTTAGAAACTTTTGACTCCAGGAAGAAATTTCCTGCATCATACCCAAAATGCTTCCCACTATGACAAATGGAATTTCTGATGGCCTTTGGAGAAAAAAAAAATGCTATGGATAATGGCTAGATAGCACCAAGAGATTGTGCAGGGTCTACAAAATGAACACTCTGAATTTCAGGGGAGCTGGGTCAGTTTCAGCTCTTTCTTGTACCTCTGCATTGTTTCCATCGCCAATCTGACTGTACAGAACGATCCTATTTGACCAGCTGTGTATAAAATAACCTAATCTACAATGGAAAAACCAGTAGCAGCAAGTCTATCGATGAAACCAGTGGAGCAGACTTATCAAGTGAGTAAAATGCAAAAACCAGTACATAATGCACCAAGTAAATTATGTGTGGAAAGTATCAATGCTGAACTGTGAAATACTAAGACAAACACCAAACCTAACTCTGTAGGATGTTCTTACTGCCCTCAGGTCCAGTTTCCTGTCGTTTCCCCCAATGGTGGGCTCAAGTATGCAAAATGACGGATGCGAGAGCTTTCTTTTTCCTTTTGATCTACATATGCTCTTGTGATATTTTGGAAAAATATTTTTAAGCATCTCAAAGGGGAAACAAGCAACTAAAGGCAAAAGGAAAAAAAAGAATGGACCTTCAAACCCAGGGCAGGAAATCAAATCATTACTTTAACGTCAAATTTTGGCATCAAATACTTTGGTCATACAATACTGTCTCTGTGGTTCTGGCTGTTTAGTACTAAACACTAAACACCCAGTTATAAAAGGTAGGCTTGTTGTTGGTTTATTTTTTTTTTCCATTTAAGTTCTGACAAAACAGTTCACCATCTCCCTGCACAAACTTGAGAGAGAGAGAGTGAGAGAGAGAGAGAGAGAAAGAAAAAAAAAAGAGCAAGAAAGAGAGAGGTGGCTTGCTTTTTTTTTTTGTTTTTGGCTTTTTTTTCTTTTTAATAATATGGAATAATCTATAAGTCTACAGGAACAAAGAAATCTAAGATGGCTGCTCAGCCTTGGAATGTACATGTTTTGCAGCAAAGTTGTTGAAGAACCTTCCGTTGGCACAGATTGTTCTTTTTCACAAGCATACAGAAGCCTCCTTCGGCCCAGGACTCTTCCGTTGCTTTTCCGGAAGTCAGCGAAAGAGAGGGGGAGTGGAGGTCGAGAGCAGCATGATGCACACACACGGAAGGAGGTTTTGATTGGCCAGAGAGGCAGATTGGGAGGTTGGAAGAGATCATTCAGGAGCAGTCAACAAGGAGAAAATTTGGTCCACCCAAAGTGATTTCAGTCAACAGCATTGGTTTTCAAGGAGAGATATTGCAGTCCAACGGTAAATGTGATTGGTATCCATTTGTGAAAGGGAAAAAAAGATTGAAAAGAGAATAAGTTAGAAATCAATAATAACACAAGCAAGGAATTTTTCTTTTCAGAATTACCTAGAGCAGAGAATATACAGTCATTTATTCCATATTTCATTGAAGCTAAGACACAGGATTTACCATGCAGCATTACCTTAAGAATCACAAGGGAAATAATGCTTCTTATTAAACTGTGACACAATGCTCTCATCAATTAGAATTTTAATTTTATTATTATTTTTAATATTAAAAAGTATGATTTTATTATTTATTAGTTATTTTTATTATTCATTATTTTTATTTTATTAATTTTATTTTACATATTAGAAGTAATTGTTATATGATGTCCTTTTTGGTTTCTGTGATTATACAATAACCCTTCCTTTGAACATCGAACAACAAACAATTCATTATTTGGAAGCTCTTTTGAGATGTTATTCAAAGTCATACAAGAAGTAGTAGCTATGAGCTTAATCCAGTTAACAGACACCTCTGTACCTAAGTCTCAGGCAACACCACTTAAATCCTATGAACCCACTGGTCAAAAGAGTTGTAAGCTGTCATGAACTATCAGGTGCATCTGATTTCAGAGAACTTAAAATACAAAACAAAACAAAAAAATCTTATCTTAGAATCATGGAAATATGAAAGTTGAAAGGGAACAAACAGCACAAATATGTAGTTACCATCTTATTTTATGCCACCAATGGTGTCATTCTTTTACTAGTTTTTCATTTTCCATTTCTGCTCACAATCCCGACACCCCTCTTTTACCAAAATGCCATTTGCACAACTTAGTACACGCTCACCAGGGTTCAGTGGAAGTAGCTAAAACATCACAAACCTTCAAATGCCTGGTACAAGAGCTGGAGGCAAAAATGTCAAGTTACAGTGGATGTCCCATGTTACCCACCTAAAAGCCTTTCTCAGTTTTTTGGTTAACCCAGAGTGGTGTAGTTGGAATTAGCCCTGGTTAAGAAACTCTGAGAACGAAGCACCTGAGTGGGTCCTGACCCTCCCTGTCAGACCAATCACACATCAGAAAAGCTATGAAGATGCAGTCACTTTTGATGGCTCATGCAATAAGCCATATATGCTGTCATAACAGTGCCATCATGGCCCATTCCTTCTGATGCCTTCTTGAAATTCCTAAGATGGGGTTGTGGAATAACCTCACAAGGTCACAGGTATTATCTTGTTCATTTTGTGCAGGTGAGGGGAAAGCAGCCTAAAGAATTTCATAACCTGCCCCAGGTCTAGAGCCCGGGTATGAACTATGGTGTTTTGACTCCCAAGTCCATATTTTGCCAATTACAGAACTGTTCTGCCTCCCCTAAAATTTCCAGAAGAGGGAACATTCCAAAGAAGGCAAAGAATGGACCTAGGCAATGATCTTATCATTGAGACTGTTCCACATGCATGCCTTCTATTTTTATAATGAATTTTTATGAAGATGTTTAAAACATCTTTGGTTCCAAACAATTTCTTTCTATATCACTGAGATGTATTTTCTGCATGAGGCTTAGGCAGATTTTACAGTCCCTTCAGCATGAACTACATGAGGGTCAAAGATCACATACATGTTGGAGTTGGAATAACTTAAACTCATTATTTTTACAGATGAGAAAACTGAGTCTAAGGAAGTGAAAGAACTTGGCATTTCCCCATTTCCCTATCAGAGGGATCAGGGCAGAGCAATAGTCTTTAAACTGCCAGCATCAGACACAGGAGAGGCTTCTAAAAATATCTATCCTCAGGCTAATCCCAAACCAATTCAATCAAATCTGTGGGGAAGCTGCAGGATCTTGGCATTCTACTTGGGACTCATCAGTACCAAGAAAGTAAAAATGGACTAATATTTAAAAATCTTAACTTCGATACTTTGTTTCGGCACTTTCTACCATCACATCTCGGGTTTTCCCTTCTATATAAGTCTGGAATGTTGATTCCTAGCCTTGTAAACTTCATGAAAGATTCAGAAACCATTTGATTATCATTTACATATCAAAATTGTAAGCAATACAAATAATAGGAGTGATAGAAAAACTAAAGTCTTTGCATGATTGAATTTTATGTATTATTAAAAAAAAGTTTCCAAAGACTTTGTAAAAACATAGGACAAAGGAAAATGCCTATGTATAATGCTTAGTGCAAAAAGCAGGATACAGAACTCTGTATGTGGCATTTAAAAAACTGGATAAGAAGTACATATGGAAAAGAAATACATCAAAAATTAACTGGAAAAGGCTGCATACTGTGATTTTAACACGTTAAGAGGAAACACTGTAACACTTTAAGGGGAAAATGTATGGAGATAGTAAAAAAAAAGAGTGATTTCTATGGGGATGGAGGAAAGGAAGTATGAAAAGGTAGAAAACAGAAGATTTTTAGGGTAGTGAAGCTGCTCTGTATACTGCAATGGAAGATACATGTAATTATACATTTGTCTAATTCCGTGGAATATACAACATCAAGAGCAAATCCTAATGGAAACTATGAGCTTTGGATGATAATGAGGTATCCTTGTATGTCTATGCACTATAAGAAATGTGCCTCTCGTGCTGGATGGTAATATTGGGGGAAGCAATACATGTAGGTAGGAGGGGGATATAAGAGAAATCTCTGTGCTTCCTGCTCAGTATTTCTGTGAATCTAAAATGGCTCTAAAGAATAAAGTTTATTAATTTAAAAACAACAGTTGTCATCTTGGCCAGTGGATCTATAGGTGATGGATTTCTTCTTGCAATTAAACAACAAAGCCCCACACTCATTAAGAGTTAAGTTCAAGAGGAAAGAATGCCAACAAGATATTGGGCATGTCCTATCTGATGCATGCTTGTTAATAATGGAAATAGGTTACACCTTAAAGTAGAAGGCTCATATTTAGCTCAAAAGATCAAAAAGAGAAGTTGTACTCACCATCCTTGCAGATAGCTCCCATTTGACACATCCCTAAGTCTAAGAGATACCCACTGGGGCAGCTGGTACAGTTCTTGAACCCTGGGCCATTACATGTCAAACAACTGGTATCACATCTAGGGGAAAAATGTTCAATTTTTAAAATCCTTTCAGATATCATCAACATAGATAAGTTGTATTTACTATCAACATTATAATGTCTTAAATTTAATTTTCCCTTTGAAGATAACACAAAAATCTTTCTTACAATAATTTCTAGGTTTGATGACATTAAAACCTAGCGGGGAGACACTGATTTTAAAGGGAATATTATGTGTACTTGAAACATATTTTTTACTTTGAAAGTTTTAAGGTGGGCCTGAGGCCAAAAAAAAAAAAAATCTGACAACTTGGGTTAGAGCTGTAGGGCAGTGTCCAAATGTAAAAGATTGAACTTTATTTTGTCATTAAAAACTCTTAAGTTTTCCCATTATTTTTGAAGGTAGTCCTATGAGGAACTAAGGTACTAAATGCTACAGCTGGGGACAAATCCACTTACTTTTTGCAGGATTTGTATCCATTCTCTGAAGAGTGCTCTAAGTAGTAGCTGATACTACAGCTCTGCACGCATCTACCGTCTTCCATGTAGTAGCCCTCTGTGCAATTAATGCAGCCATCAGCTCCTGCCGCTTTAAGCACAAGACAAAAATGCAAGACGCAGAAAAAAGCCTGAGTAAAGGTTGCATAATGGGCTCCTTCTTTAAGAGTCTGAAAATGGCATTCATCTATTATAATTTTAAGTGTCTTAATTTAATATTTGTGGTTTTCCTGACTTTCCTTTGTGGGGAGAACTCCTCCTATTTTAAATCAGATTTTCTTGCTAAAAAAATATCTGCTCTCACTGGAAAGAGATGTCACTGGGATATTTAAGTTTCTCAGCGAGGACAGGGTGCTGATGATTTGACTTACTACGAGAATACATGCATGATTATCAAAAGAGAAATGCACTCCTCCACATCTACTTTAAACATAGGGGGCGGGGTGTGTGAGTGATGGCTACAACCAGACAAACGAAAGGAAAATGAGAAACACAAGAACAAATGGAAGAGCAGGGAGAAGGTACCAGCACAGGTGGCACAGAAGCGGTGGCAGGGCTGGCAGTCCTGGCCGTTGAAGTACTGTCCATCCTCGCAGGTGACAGAACACCGGGATCCCTGCAGGCTGGAAGAAATGTAAATCAGAGTTCTAAGCAGATTGTTGTGATCAAGGCAAAGCAGTAACGACTCCCCAGATTCCCTATGTAGCAAATAGAGCCCACCAGACTCCCCAGATTCCCTATGTAGCAAATAGAGCCCACCAGAGACCAGTAGATTGTGGGAAAGCTTCAACACAGGGGAAATAACCCTATGTCCTCTTCTTCCCATCTTGGTACCTAGACTGATGTCTGTAGCATATATACATGCTGCTAGGCTTTGGGTACATTCTCCTGAATTGGTTAGACTGGCAGACACCCTCCTACTTTGCTCAACATCTGAAGGTCCAGAGGTCTCAGAAGGTCCCCAACTGATGGAACAATCACATTACCTAACAATATGCCCAGCAGTTCCCTAATATCCAGACTCACACCACAGTAAATTTAAAAATTGTTCCATAATTCAAAATGCAGTAGGATCACATGGTAAAATGAAATACAACTGAATAAAAGTGTAATAAGGATCCCTGGGTAGACTCCCTGGAGTAGCCTTTTATGTTTTTAAGTGTTTCTGATTTTAACCTCCTATTGGTTCCATCAAAGAACAAAATTGTTGAGCTAGGAGTGTAGCTCAGAGGCAGAACATGTGCTCAGCATGCTTGAGGCCCTGCGTTCCATCCCCAGCACTACACGCACACATGCAAATAAATTCTCAAACACTTTTGCCTCTATTTCTTGATTTTTTCATTTAAAACAATAATGAGGAATTTAGCAAAATTAGCTACCTACAATGCTGCTTTCTCAAGTATTTTATTTTAGTTATATTACTATTTACATGCACACTATGTTAAATAATTTTTAAATTTTCTGTTTCTCTATCTAGTTATCTAATGAATTGCCAGGATGCAAAGGAGGAATGCATATCTTTTCCTCCCTCCTAATTTCCATCAGTTATGATATTTCTCAATCTATACTTTGATTTTTAAAATTAAAAACAAATATATAGAATTTGACATATTTAATATAAAAATATCACTCACTGAATTAATTGGAAACAGAAAATCAATGATCCTAGACGTACGTTTAATAAATATGATCAAATGGTTTCTATATTCTTAGACTTTTTATATTGCTTCAATTGAGATCTTATGTGTCTGCTTTGTATATGGCTCTTACTAATTTTAAAAATTAGAATTTAGTTTTCCTTATGCTCATTAAAGAAATTGGGAAAGCACACAAATAAAAAAATAAAACAAAGAGTTCCAAACAGACACTGTTACCATTTCAATACATTTTCTTCCTGCATTTTATGCATCGACATGTTCCCCTGTTTGTTCTTAGCCACTATTTAAAAATTTACAAGTCCCTGGAGGCCAAATGGTCAACCCCAGAAGTCTCTGGGAACACACAAGGAGCCTCAACTAGTTGAAGGGCAGCTCACCAAAAGCGCACTTCATTCAGACGGTCTCACTGACCAGAGAGCTGTTATTTACGAAACCATTAACAGGAAATCCCTCTACTTCTCCCTCTCTATAGTGTTATTAAAAGACACTGCATCAAATGGATCCTTTACTGGGATGAAATAGGGACCACTAAAAATATTATCAAAATTTTAAAAGAGCTGCCTGAGAAAGGGCCATGCTTCTGAGGTTGGCATCTATTCAGCTGGAGACAGAGTTGCACTGTGTGTGAAGGAATGAATGAAAGGGGTCATGCAATGGAGAACAGCCACAGAACTCTGAAGCCACCACACACTCCTGAGCCCAGTACTGTGGATGTCTCTCTTCCGTTTTTGATAAACTGGCTGGTTCAGATCTGCACTGTCCACGGGGCAACTGCTGAAATGTGGCTGAACTCCTGAACTGAGTTTTACATTTTAATTATTTAAATCCAAATTTGAAAAACTTGTACTTGATTTAGTTATTGGCAAACTTTTGAGTAAATCTGGAATATCTTGGCTTTGTAAAATCTACTTCTTCAGCTAGATTTTAAAATATCTGCATGCAGATATTGCTCATCAAAAATTGTCAGAATCAAGATGGACTTTAAGAGCATACACACCAAGTTTCAATGACTTAATTCAACAACAAAAAAGAATGTAAAATATCTCATTAATAGTTTTTTTATGTTGGCTCCATGTTGAAATGATAATATTTTGGATATATTATGTTAAATAAAAGGTTTTATTGAGAACAATTTCCCCAGTAACTTTTTACTTCTTTTAATATGGCTACTGGCATATTTAAAATTACATATACGGCTCTCATATTTCTATTGATATGCACTGATTTAACTTTCTCTATAAAATTTTCCTAAGAGAATTTCTCTAAGAAAAAAAATGTAAGTAACCTTTTTTTTTAAAAAAAAATTATCATGGACCAATTATGTAACATATGCAGAAATAGGTACTTCATAAATGTTACCACAATTTATTTTTTATTATCATAGTCCAATAAAATAAGGGTTATTTGCACCATTTTATACATGAGAACATGGAAGCTCTGAGTGGTTAGGTGACTTGCCCAAGGTCACCTTAACAGTAAAGGAGGATTTAAACTCACATCTTCCTTATTCCTTCCTATTATGCCACCATGTTGCTTTTCCAAGAAGAATTACTAGGCTGAAGGGTCTGACATTTATCAAAATTGAAGTGTCAAGATGCAAGGTGCTAAGCAAACTAATAATGCATATGGTTATGGAGGAAAAAGTGATAAAGCCACAAATAATGGATGGATTTAAATGAAAACAATGTTCTAATACTGATTAATGTGAAGAATTGTCTGACTGCAAATTGCATGGACCCTGTCCATTTGACCTCTGATCAAAGGTAGAAACAAAGACACTCTCAATACTGAAAAAGAATCCAGTGCAGGAGAATTCTAACTCTAAGTTAAGTCAGAGTCCAACTCCTCACTCAATGTGGCACAGTCCAACCTTCTTCTGAGGTCAGGTGGCTGAGTTTGTTAGAGCTGCAAAGTGTTTACATACAGAGTCTAACAACTACCTGGCTTCAGCAATGAGCAAGCCATCCATTCAAGGAAAACATCTCCTGTGTTAAATCGATGTGCATAACATCACATAACGGAGCCAAGCCTGAGGTACCAAGATAAGAGAATGACTGGGTATGTGCAGAGAAATAATAAAGATAAGGGAATAACTTTCCACCATCCAAGGAATTAATCAGGGGGATTAAATATAATTCATTGGCATTACCTGCACAGTAATCCTTGACTGGCACAATGCAGGTCAAAAAGTACAAAGAATGCCTCTCAAATGGTCATTTTTATTGACTTGTATCTGAGTCATGTTTTTTACAGAGAATTTATTTAGTTTATAACCCTCCCTTAGTCAAGATGGCACCCAATTTTTCAGATATAAGGTTAGAGGTAATGCAAATAGGAATCAAATGCTTCTGTGGAAGTCAAACCAAGGGTAGGTGATAAAAGGGCTATGTATATACTTATTTATTATTAAAAAAATTTTATAGTTGTAGATGGACAGGATACCTTTATTTTATTTGTTTATTTTTATGTTGTGCTGAGGGTTGAACTCAGTGCTTCACACATGCTAGACAGGTGCTCTCCCACTGAGCTCCAGCTCTGGCCCTACTTATTCATTCTAATTTTTTAAAATTTTGTTTACATTGAGAAACTCCAGGGGCTGTGTTATTGATGAAGTCCTCCACTCTCTTACCTTAACCCATCCCTGCATTCCGTACAATTATGGGATTCAGTACATGTCTTGCAGTTTTCACTGCATTTCCGGCAAAGATTTTTCTCTATTAAAAAATAAAAAAGAAACAAAGTTATGAACTTGTTGTTCAATTAGAGTGCATAAAAGCATGTGGAGATGGTCTAATGATTGCAATATATACTACAGTGCCCATGCCTTGAGAAGAAAACTGTAGGAAAGCCAGAATCACCATTTGTTACCACTTCTCTGCAAACTGAATACAGGCATGAACTGTTACGCTGGGAAATACCTCACACTCATCTGCTACCCTGTAGACAAGAGAACTGCAGCCCCACTTAGTTCTTAGTTGAGTAGTTTTATTTTTCTTCTTTCCATTCTCCTTCCCAAACAGGGTTTCCTAACTTCCAGCATTGAAAATCCCACTCATTAGGCTGGTATACCACCACTACACAAGGATTGGAAAGCAATGTGGTGAAATGGGACTGTTGCCCTCCAGGCCCACAGCTCTCAGGACTATTCTTTTGAACTAACTAGCAAAAGAAACCTGTACTTAATATTGTGAGATAAGAGTTGCTTATTTCTTGCATTGTCTAAAATAGTGGCTTGCACTCTATTGCTGCTGTGGAATTGACATGAATATTATTATATTTCAGATAATATCTATATTCTGTAGAATAAAAATATATTTGATTTGAAAACGTACACTGTGAATAATGGCTTTCCTGTTCACTTCCAAACCCTGGTCCACACTGGAAAAAAAAGGGCAAACGTGCAATTGTTCTACTGTGAAAAACAGTGATTTGGTGTGTTAAGGAAGTCCTTTAACTTTGAATAAAATTTTGCTGGTAACTTGGTATCTTCTTTGAAATGCAAGTGGGTTATAGTCACACCTGTGTGTAGAACTGAGTGAAGCTTTGTTCACAGGTTCTCTTACCTGCTCTTTAAATGCTGATGTTCTACAGAGTTCCATAGAGAAACACTGCTTTACAGATCCCTACAAGGTCCTACTGGATCAAGGTTTAGCCTCTCAGCATGAAACCCAAAGCCCTTGGCACGGTTATGGTAGTTGTCACATGATCTCCTTCACTATGCTATTGAGAATACTGGATATGGCCTAGGATCTGAAGGCAGAGATTCTAGATTTACATTCTGCTTTTAGCACTTCAATGGGCAAGTTCTCTAGGTAAATGGAGATTACAATGATACCTACCTACCAGCTGTCCTCAGAAGTAAATGTAGTTTTTCAAAAGGGTGATATAAACTATAAAGCACTGTAAATGTGTTGGCAGTAACTATAAGTCATGTCCATACATGACTAATATTGTATGTAAATAGGCTCATTAAAGGATGAAACTATAACAAAAGACAGTTACATAGGAAAGAGATACATAGACCACTGGAATCAATACAATGTGGTAGCAGAAGTAATTATTTGAACATCTTTTCTTACATATCCATCTCCCAAGCTCTCTGGAAAAAAAACAAAAACAAAACTATAGGGGGACTGGGGATGTAGCTCAGTGATAGACTACATGCCCCAGGTTCTATTCCCAGCAATCCCTGCCCCTAATCTCAGTTATCTTGTGTGTGGATTGTTGTTGTTGTTGTTGTTATATAACATTCTAGAACCAACTTTATTTTCCAAGGCTCATGCTTCTTAATAGAATTTTGACTTTATTTTCCCTAACAAATACTGAATATTTCTGTGGATCCTTTATGCCCCTTCCTCTCTCCCAATTTTTCTTTTCCCTGTCATGTTCCAAATTTGGAGGCAAAAAGGAACTACAAGAGAATCCCTACCCATTGCACTGAAGGGTAAGATACAGAACCCACATGTTACGTATGGAAGTATGTAGTACCTTTGAATCAAGAGAATTTCACTTCTTAAGAAGCAAGGGCAACTCCTTCAGACTTCTTGTCTGATCTTTTTTTTTTTTTTTTTTTAAAACAACTCTTGCTTCTTTGATTTTTTTTAATATATTTTTTAAGTTGTGCAGAAACATGATGGATTGCTGTCATTAAATATGGTGGCATCATATCCTTATTAAGACAAATTATCCAGAACTCAGAAACAAACAAAAGATACCTATAGCCTTTTTTGAAGGGACATACTGGAACATTATCTAATAGGTCTGCCCAAAGACTAATTCTCTAAGGCAATATGGCTTTGCTTGTTTGCTAATTACAGCTGAAGAGTGCCCAAACTCTAACGTCACATGTTCATGCACGAATTTCTGTCTGGCAAAGTTGTAAATATTCTTTGTCCACTAGAAAAAGACTCCCCCTAATTTGAGTTGTCTTGCCATGTAGGAAATTATTCAATTTTTTTTTTTCTGTAAACAAAATTGAACAACAGAAGGATTTCATTTTGCCTTTCCTGGCGGACTAGCAATCTGATCATCTTTGAATCCACTTGTCCTTATGCACGTTCCCTTATTAATGAAGTAAGTGTCTTTGACATATGTTCATTCTATATTTATAAGAAAGTCACTTTTTAAACTTTTAAAAAAGTATACTTTGATAGCATAGAGGCGATGCCTTAACAGTGAGTGTGCAGAAAAGATTGATCTAGCCACTATTCTTTCAAGACTGCTTATCCAAGTGGCCCATGGCTGGTACCTTCAAATTAGAATTTGTGGAGGGCTACCATCATTCCAGTGAGAGTACCTTGCATTGTCCAAACCTTGTATTAATAAATGGTTTATAGTAAACACCAATTTTCCTTCTAGGAGTCTAGAATTTTGGTGCATACTAGGCACTAGCTACTAGTAACAACCTTGGGTGCCAAGTCTCTACTGAGGTTCCCTGGTGGACAACTTCAAACATGTTGCCACAGATTGAACATGTCCTGTGTGGCTCCACTGGAAGGTGCTCTTGGAAGCTTGCATCTGCTTTCTTCTGGGCTTCATCATTTCCTGCTGCTGATTTTACTTTGTATCCCTTTGTTCCAGGACTCATAACTGTGAGTATAAGAGTTCAGTCTTATGAGTATTCCTAGCAAATTGCTGAATGTAAGAGTGGTCTTGAGGATCCTCTGACAACAGTTAGTTACAGGCATTTTCACACAAAGCTTCTAAACCATCTTGTAAAATAAATTGGTTAAATTCTGTTTGACATTTAGCAAACCAGATTTCATAAAGGAGGAACATCCCTCCCAAAGTCGCTCAAGTGAAAAACCCACATCTTCTCTAAAACCCAAATATTTGAAATCAACTCACTGGTGTCCTGATATGACCCATCAGGGCAGTGAATAACACAGCTGTTGGTTTCTTCATTCAGGAAGTACCCATATTTACAGGAGAGGCACTGATCACCATGGCTCCCGAAACAAGACTCACAGTTGGGCGCACATTTTCGGCATCGCTTCTTGTCTGCGTAGTAGTGGCCAGGGGGACAGCTGGAGACACAGATCCTGCATTGGAGAACAAGAAGAGAGATAGTACATCACCAGCCACTTGCCCTCAGCATTCTCCTGGAGTGGCTAAGCAAACAGTGGCCCTCAGCCTCAAAGTCAGAACACCAACACCAAATCCCTAGGGTTCAATGCTGTTTGCTAAAGCTTCTTTCTGTACAGGGCTGAGGAGCAATGCAGTCACCCAGCACCAAGTCACCCAGCAAGAGGGCTCTTGGCCCCAACCATCTCCTAGTGAAGGTCTGGCTCCTCACAAGGAATAATGGGTACATACTGGGTGTCAAGAGCAAACTTGTACTGGTGGATTGGAGAGAAGATATGTGGGAACCATGATTTTATGCTCAAAGGTCACTCTAACAAGGGTTTCTTCTACTTGTGTTGTTGCTCATGTGATCTGTACATGTGGGCAGTGGTTGCAGTCATATGCTATTATCTAAGTAAACATAAACATATTTAAATTTATGTTGCTTAAGAGAATTTGTTTTTTTTAAATAACTCCCTTGTTTGTCCATAACTGAAAGACGGTGCTTGATTTATTTATCCATTCAACACATATTTACTGAGCACCAATTAAATATCAGGCATTTTGCTAAGTTTGAGAGATAACAGAAACAGCCAAGGGCCTTTTCCTTGAAGAATTTAAATTCCAACATGGACTTAAAAGGAGGAATTTGTCCATGCTTGAGTCTGTCTGGGTGTATTGGGTATGGAGTTACCAAAATCAGCTCCCCACAGGGAGCTTTTGCTTGAAGGAGTAGGGAGAAGGTATGGAGGGCTGTGAGAGGTGGGGTGGGGAGGATGGGCTCCCACTGGGGTAGTCACTGTCCTCTCCTCTGCCCCATATTTGTATAGCTCTGGTCAGAAGCCAGGGATCAGAGACACAGGTCCACCTCAGTGCTCAGAGTGGAAGAGTGAGAACAACCAGGGACCAGCCCCTTTGCCATGTGATTTTCTTGCATGTTGGAAATGTGGGAAATATCAAGTTGGTCAATGCACTGACATGTTCATGAAGGGCAAATACAGCCAGAGCTCCATCCATCAGTGGGATGGAAATGACATGAACTTTAGTTAGAAAAATTAAGTTTAAGATCTACTGTACATGATGGTATTAATAACAACAAACTTGCAAATAGCTAAGAGTAGATCTTAAGGGTTTTCACCACAAAAAAATAATAAGAATGTGAGAGACTACACATATTCAATCATTTGATTTAGTTATTCCACGATGCATGCATATTTCAAAACATCATGTATGCATATATAATTTTTTCTTGTTCATTAGCACATTTGGGGTGTTCCTTGGGGATTTGACATGGCCTCTCTGTTACCTGGTATTATTTTTCAGCTTGTAGTAGTAGTGCAAACAGTCATTGCAGTGGTCTGGTCCTGGCCCATCACAGCCAACCTCACTGCACTCAGGATCACAGGGACCTTTCCAAAAGAGATTAGAACAAAACTTAGAATAAATAATGATTTTAGAAGGTCACCTTTCCCCAGACTTTGATATAGACTAGGACCTTTCTTTTTTCTTATGCAGTGATACTTTCTTAGAGATGGAAGAGTAATGGTCAATGTGGTTGTAAGCCAGGAGATGAGCCTGACTTTTACTGGAAAAATTTCAAATGCCTAAGTATCAAGAAATTCAGTGTTGGCCTGGTCTTGTGGAGGTGACAAATATTCCAGAATCTGAATGAACAAGGCCACTGTAGCAAGAGGAAAAAAATCAATATGCAATTAAATATGCATAATAATAAAATATAGGATTTGTAGAAAAATGAGCAGTTGTTGACAAAAAGAAAAAAAGGTTATTTTTCAATGCCTAGAACAGATTGCCTATCTCATCCAAGGTCACCAAAGGCACTGAACACATCTAAAATAGTGTGGCCAGAAAGAAACATCATTATGGCATGTGGCACAAGCTTATCAGCATCTAGTCCTGGATCACAAAGCAGATACTTCAGGCACAGATAATAGATTTAACATTGTGTCCGATCCAAAGGCCAGTAGTCAGATCCACACAAGAAAATGACATACAAATTAAAAAATGTGAGCTAGCTTAAAGAATTCCAGGGGATGAAGGTTCTTAATTTCTCTCTCTAAATATTCTTTGGTTTAGAACTAGAGAGAATGTACAGTAAGGGAAAGATGACAGAAAGAGAGCTATTTTATGACTGATGCAAAGCTTTCTGATGGCATGGACTACTTATAGAAATTTTTACTTCATTTTCCTTGATCTCCATATTTTGGGATATTTGGTCTCTTAAGTTTTGAGTTCTTTCCCAATAAAAATTCATGTGATTCTTAACTGGCAATGAATAATTGCATAAGATGTGCAAATAGTAGGTCAAGAGTACCAGAAATGTTTTGAACCCTGCTTTAATCAAAAGGAGACAAACTTGTTGAACCTTGGCCTCCTTTTGTCATTATGGAATTATGTTCTATAATTACTGCATACAGACACATACAATGTTAGACCTGGGGTAGAATGACTTAGAAAAAAAAAATCTGGTAATCAAATACTCTCATTTGACTGATGAGAAAACTGATTTTTCAAGAGTTACAGTGGTTTGACCAGTATCATATGGATAGGAATCAAGAAGTGTCCTAAAACCAAGGCCAGATTTCTCGCTTTAATGTAGAAAATCACATACCTGAAATGATCTCTTGATCTCAATGGAAATAAGTCAATTAAAATACTGCATATTTGAAATATATTTCTAATTAATTACAAGAGTCATTTGACAGCACTATTTATTTCTATTTTCCCCAAAGGCCTTAAATTGATCTCTAAATTAAATTCCACAGGGAGTACAACTTGGGACAATTTAGTTGTCTCTCACTGCACACCCAGGAGTGTTGTTACTGCTGTGTAAGAGGTTGAAGGTTGAAGTTCATCCAGCTGTGGGTCTCACAGTCCCTGGGATTTGAAGAAACAGCACAGAGATCTAGTTGTGATAATGCCCTGTGTACCTCTAGTCAGGCTGGCTTCCCCACAGAGGTAAGAATCACAACTCCACAGCAAAGGAATCATGGGTGGCACTAAATTTTCACCAGATGATTTCTTAGAATTAAAAAAAAAAAAAACCCTAAAAATTTTTTTTCTTCGTAAGTGCCCAAAGGGCTCTGCATGGCAGCTTCGCTTGCTGTTGCTCCCCTTGTCATCATAAACTGTCCCAGATGCAGTCTAGCATTGTAGGGTGCCGGATAATAATGAAATAATTTTCTTTGTTCTCTCACAAGTGCCAATGTCAGTGTTTGAGATGCAATCAGAAAAACCACAAAGATGTACAACTATGTTCAGAAACTTAACATTACCAAATTTTGAATTATAAATATTACTGAAATTTGAATCAGGTAAAGAGTAATAGGTTACCGTTGTACCCATTCGTATTTTTGGATAGACTTTTCTCCTATCAGAGAAGACAAAATGGTTTGCTAATTATAATGTAAATAGAAATGTTATAAATACAAAGCAAAGCAAGATAAAATTGAATAGAGTCTAGCTCTGGTCAGATCAGGTGCTCTTAATTATCCAAGCATGTTACTGACTCTGGGATACTACTTGTTTAGAATAAAAGGAACTACATGCATATTTAAGATGTTCTGTTCAGGAGAATAATGATGTACATTTATCTTAGTATCTAGAGCAAAATCCCAGAATTGCAGGAACAAAATATTTCTTGTTTAATGTTGTATTACGCTTTTATTTACAAACAGTTCTCCATTAAGAGAGATTGTCCATTAAGTGTTATATATAATCATATCTCAGAAGGACTGAATGCTCCTAAAAGTGGGAGCTAATGCAACAAGTCAGGAATCAGAAACATAATAAAGAGAAAGATAAAAAATATAATTTGAAGATGATATGGCTATAGTACCTAAACCACCTCCAGAAAATCAACTTTAGAACATAAAATAATGAGAATGTTAAGCAACATGGCCAGATATTAGATAAAATGCAGCAATTTATAGATTTCCTACATATCATCAGATACTAGTTAGAAATCATGAAACATTTTTTCATTACAGGAGCAACAAGACCTAAATACTTAGGCATAATACTAATAGGAAGAAAACTACACAAAAGTAAAAGGTTTCCATAAAATTGGACATGGTCTATGTTTCATATGGAAAGAATATCTATTGTAAAAACAACTGTTCCAATGAAATTGCATATGAATTCAAATTAAATTCCAATGAGACTTTTAAAGTGGGACTTAACAAATCATTTTAAAATTCATCTGAAGAATAGTAGGGCAATAATTGATATGAAAATGAGAAACAGATGTTCTATAAATATTAAAATATATCATGAGGGATAAGGGGTAGCTAAGTGGTAGAATAAGTCTTTAGTATGTGTGAGGCCCTAGGTTCAATCCCCAGAGCTAATAAATACAATACAATACAATACAATACAATAAATGATTGATTAAAAAAGAAAACAAGCAAAAATTATGAAACAGGCATAGTGGCACATGCAATAATCCCAGCTACTCTACTCAGGCAGCTGAGGCAGGAGGATTGCAAGGTTGAGACCAGTCAAGGTCCCTCCTCAAAATAAAAAATATAAAGTTCTGGGGATGTAGCTCATAGAGTGCTTGCCCAGCATGTGTGAGGCTCAGGGTTCAAATCCCCAATATTGCAAAAGTAGAACAAAACAGAATTAAAACATCATGGAATAGAAGTACATAGGACAGCTAAGGTAGAATTGGTTTGAGAATTATTAGAATGATGAATCAGAAAGGAGGTACCAGAAGAGACCCTAGTAACAGAACTTAGTATGTTGTTATTAAAAAAAAATCACAAACTAATAAAAGAAGAGACAATTACTCAGCCAGTGTTGTTAAACTATTTGGAAAGTAATTAAGACAGTTTCAATTCACAGTGTATGTCATAAACCAAAGTAAGTTCCAATAAAGTGAGTTAATGTCCAGATGCAAAAACCAAGAGATTACCAAACAAACACACAAACAAACAAACAAAAAAACTCCCATGAATATTTAGCTGATACGAAAGGATAAAACTTCTGTAAAAACAAACAAAAAAAATTGGCAAATGTTGTATTTGAAACTATAAAACCCATTCTCCAAGAGTGTTTTCTGTTAAAATATCAAAACACAAAACAAAAATTACATTTGTGAAGCAAATGATAACTGAGGGCATGTTTTCATCAAATATGAGATCCAGCAAAATCAGTAAAATACAGAATTCTTATAAATAGATATGAGAATTACTGCCACCTTGAATATAAGAATGGATAAAACACATTGAATTTATTTCAGAGAAATCAGAAGAAAAATGTATAAAATTACTAGCAATCAAAGATATATGAATTTTAAAATAACCCTTCTTTTTTTAAAAATTTTTTTTTTCCTTTTCTTTCTGGCTGGAGTGATGTTATAAACACCCACACAGAGGGTCACAGTGTAGATTGATACATTTTGTCTGGATAGTAATGTGATAAAATGTTTCCAAGTCCTAAAACTGATTATTCCCTCTGATGTAATACATCTCAGAATAGAACCCTACTCAAAGAAATTAATTGAAGATACAGACAAAGACTAATAAACAATGTTCATCCAAATCTTGTTTAAAATAGTGTAAAATTCTCAACAAACTATATGCCCCCGATTATGGATTAAAGACACAATACTGCAATCACAGTGTGGACTAATAGTTTTGGAGACAAGATATATGGATGTTTGAATATATGAATAAGCCAATATACTCACAAATATTTGGAGGAATAGAAGAAAATATACTAGAATATGGGTAATTATGTTATGTTGTATTATTTAGTATCATATCATGTCATTATTATATCATATTAATTATCCCACATGGTGCCATGATGTATGAGCTTTCTTGGGCTGTGTGCTTTTGGGAACAGCTCACCTGCATAATCCTCTGCACCATAGTCATCTGTAGGGTCTTCAACTCGGCTATAGCGGAAACGCTCCACCTTAGGAAACTCGTTGGTTGGGGAGTATGGCTGCACGGATGTGCCATAGAGGACCAAAGACCATTCTTTCAATTTACCTTGAGAAATAATAATGAAATCACAGCATGACCACACATTCCATCTTTAGCTGTATAACTGAAGTCTTTCCCATACAAGAAAAAACAACAGAAGAATTGTGGGAAGGGGGTTGATAGGAATCATTGCATCAGATACTGGACTAGAAACGCACATCTCCCACCCTTTGCAGAATCAACTACTTAATAATTCCTACACCAATAATTTATATACCACATATTTACTGAGCACTCACTATAGACAGACCTTGATTTAATCAGCATTTATGGAAAGCTGGGAAATAAAGATACCCCAGATTGCTAGTTTAAGGGTTGAATTTCAAAATTATGCTTACTTAAGAGAATCCCAGAGTTTTATAGAAGGCTTTGTTTTTCTACATATAAAGTTCTTTTCTGAGGTTTAAAAAAATTTTTGATGGCATTATCTGACTAGTTACTAAATGGACAAAACAACTCTTTGTACCACTTAATCCCTGAATCAGTCATTCAATATTAGGAATTCATCATTATGAATACTATTCCAATAGTAACTGGACACTCTTGATTATTTAAATTTAAATAAATTTTAAAAAGCACTTTGCTTCCTCAATTACAATAACCACATTCCAAATGCTCAGTAGCTACAGATAGCTAGTGGCCACTATACTGGGTGGCACATATATAGACCATTTGGACAGTATTGCACAGTAGGGTGCTATAGTCAAGGACACCTTGAGGCCTGAGGCAAATATCTCACCTCCCTTGGGTGGCTCATAAGGAAAATTTTACTTTAGCTTGCTCCTTATTCATCCATTTATTTCTTAGCTTCATAAAATTACAGCATTCAATGCAAAATGTTTAAGAAAAACGGGGGAAACTGCCTCAAGGCCATTAAGTTTAATAAGATTCACATCAAAGAAATCAACCATAAGCAGAAGTGATTTAAAACAAAACCATTACAAACATGGAAACATGCCAAGAGGAAAGCAGGACCCCTCTCACCTTGGCTTAACAAATGGAATCTGGGCCTGGTCACAGTTGGGTCAAGGGCTAGCTCAGAGTGATGACCTTCAGCTGTCAGGGGTTTTCATCTATTAGCTTCTATAACCTATAAAATCAGTGCCTAACATTTCTAACTACTTACTATGTGCTAATAAGCACAGGCCTAAATGCTTTATAAATGTTATTCCATTAATGTGCACAGTTTCTCTGAAGTAAGTACTAATACTCCCAATATACAGATGGGAAAACTGGGGCATAGAAATAACTTCCCAAAGGATAAGAAGAGGACAAACTTATATTAAAACCCATTCTGAATCCAAATCCTGAGTTCTGATACCATTTTACAATACTGTCTCTTGTTCATTTCTAGGAGTTTAGGAAACTGATGTTTAGAAATAAACATGGAGATGCTCCTTGATTTATGAGAAGGTTATGTCCTAATAAACCATCACAAGTTGAAACTGTTCTAAGTCAAACATGCATTTAATGTACCTAACCTTTGGAACATCAATCACAGCTTAGCATCATCTACCTTAAATGTGCTCAGAACACTTATATTTGCCTACAGCTGGGCAAGATCATCTAAACACAAGTCTGCTTTATATTACAGTGTTGAATATCTCATGTACACACATTGATAAATGTTTTGTAGACACAACAGGATGTGAAAACACAAAATATAACATGCAAAACCTGGTGGCGGCACATTACATGGTGGAGCATCGGTTACTTCCTCTCATGATTGCGCAGCTAGTGGGAGTGTGGCTTGCTGCCATTGCCTAGCATGGTGAGAGATTATCATGCTGCATATTGCTATCCCAGGAAAGCATCAAAAATCAAAATTCTAAGTATGTTTTTCACTGACTGCACATTGTTTTCCCACAGTCATGAAGCTGAAAAATCAGGTTAAGCCATCGTAAGTTAAGGATCTTCTGGATTCTGTGATGCAGTCATTTGTTTCTTACATGTGCACTGGGCCAGTACAGTGCGGGTTATGTATGTGTTTTGCCCTTTGCCAGTTTTCCTTTGGACTCATTTGTAAATGGGTATGCTTTTCACTACCAGGCTGCTATTCAGGCTAAGAATTCTAAGCGGCATGCATTAATTAAGTAGTAGCAAGAAATGAACGATGACTGAAAATTGATGACCTATCTGATTGCCTTGAGGTAGCAAGGCAAGAAAAAACTTCCTTTGCTAAGGCATCTCTCAAGTGTTCCAATGGAGTACACAATACAAGGACACTATAGGTCATCCCATCTATCAGTCATCCTAAACCCTGGTTCATTTTACATCCCCAAATTTGCCCTCCTCAGTGCTTTGAAGCCTCAAACTGATTATGTCTCTTTGTGCCATGTCTGAAGGACACTGTAAGCCCAAGAGGGATATCTTTGCTGGGCAATTCATCTCTTTAATTTTCACTTATTATATAATTTTATTTCCTTAGGCCCTCTGCCATGATTCACATCAAATACTGCCATATTTGGGGCATCATTTTTTTTTTAACCTCTACCACTTTTTCTAAATTCTATAGATTTTTCAGTTTCAGTAACAGACACTGAAACATGCTGTTAAGAAATAGCTGTGTAAACAGAGAAGGAGGAAAATCTATCCTACTTTCTAATACATAAATGCAATCTCCATATATAGGTTTAATGTGCAAAATATAAAACCAATCCCAATATATATTTAATAATAAACAAATGGGGAGAAATAATAGATAAATATAAACCCGGTGTGGAGTCAGGAACCTCTACATTCAGGGAAGAGTCTGCCATTTAATTGAACTAGAAAAAACCCCACATCTCTAGTAGCCTACTAAAGACACCCATCACTAATCAGATAGGGAGAAATCTACCACAGGATCTTATGACATAGAAACAAACACAGAAATGTGTAAGCGCACACCCATGCACCACACAAACACACCCATAAATGGGAAAGTGAAAGTTCCTTACCAAGGTGTAACTAACCTTGACATGAAAGACTGGTTGACATGAAATCATATGTTCTCTGGTATGGAAAAAAAATACACAAAACCTGTCTTTGGAATGAAAAAAAAATCTCTAAAATGATGGACAGTGACTGGGGTTAAATTTGAGCATTTAAACAGTACAGTTGTGGGGCTGGGGTTGTAGCTCAGTGGTGGAGCACTTGTCTTGCACATGTGAGGAACTGGTTTTGATCCTTGGCACCACATAAAAATAAATAAACAAAATAAGGATATTGTGTCCAACTATAACAAAAAATATATTTTTAAAAAAATCAATAGTACAGTTGTCTTTTGGTTTCCATGGGTGACTGATTCCAGGATCCCCTGACAATACCAAAATCCATGGATGCTCAAGACCTTTTTATAAAATGGCAATAGTATTTACACACAACCTACACTTATTCTGTATACTTCAAATACTTCAAGCCATTCATAGATTACTTATACCTAATACAGTATGCATGGTATGTAAATAGTTGTTATACCGTATTGTAGAGAGAATATTGACAAGAAAAAAATCTGTGAATATTTAGTACAGATATAACTTTTTTTCCAAATATTTTCATCCAAGGTGGTGGTTGAATTCATGAATGTGGACCACGCAGCGCCTGTAGATACAGAGTGCTGACTATATAAAGAGAAACCAATGCTATGAAATAGCCAAAGCTAGATTATCTAAGTTATTGCAAAGAGCTCTCGACACAGATAATTATATTGATTCTGGGTAGACTCCAAACTCCTCGAGGACAGAGGGGCTTACATTCATAGCCCCTGACTTGTCTGCTGGGACTGGCTAACTGGTAGCATGGGAGCAGTCTGGTCTTGTTGTGAGGGCAGAATTCCTGGTGATAATAAAGAGGAGAGTCACTTTTAGTTTTGTTAAATATTTAAAATTATCAACAGATAATGTACCCTTTTGTCTGCACTGATGCATTTGGATAGTATTTGTTTCTATGGGATCTCTTGACATGGAGCCCTGCAGTGATGCCTTTGGTCAGGGCAGCCAGCCCAGTCAACACACTGTCATTCCTTCTAAGTGCCATGACCAGATCAAAACTAAGAAGTGAAGCTTGAAAAAGAAGAGGAAAGGAGAGAGGGAGAACCTAGGAACTAGGCAGATTATGATGGAGAGGATGTGTCTAGAAACTGTGGTCTATAATCTGTCTTCTCTACCAGCCCTGCCTTGGTGAAATATTTGGTTTCTGGATAAAACCTTGGCCACCCTTTATATTCAGGCTGCAGTTTGGAGATGAGGTAGACATGGATGCTCTTTAATACAACTTTTATTCCGATTCACCATTCAGATTTTGGTCTTCCTGATAAGGGACCACTGTGGCAATATAGATGAACCTCATCACACAACTAGGTGAGAAGAGAGAACCAAAATGTAGTGGTTGAAAATGGATCTCCCAGAATGAGTATCTTTCCTGGATAGGCAGGCAAAATGCTGGGAAACCTGTGCTTTCTCCCTGTGTTCTGTTGAGTGCCTTCTCTGCCCCATGCAGCCCATGGAATCCAAATGGTGCACACTCTTTTAAGATTGAGAAATATTTGGGTTAATTTATTCTGGAATCAGCAGAGGGCAGGTACTGGATGTCAGTACTAAAATTTTCCCCCAGGTATGGTTCTGTAGATGGACTGTATAGAGTGTTGTAAAGGGAAGCTTTACCCAATGGTTGAAGGTGTGTCCACGGATGGGTGGGAAGCTGGGTAGTTATCAAATGGTCATTCGTTTCTGAGCCAGCTGCTCTGCAGAGATCTGTCAGGGGCAACACAATCTCCCACCAATGCTGCATCTGTACTTTCCTTACTTTGTGTTACAAACAAGCTTCATATGCTCTGTGCAGCTACCTGAAGAGACCTTTGTTACCATTCTAATTTCCATACTTTGTGTATCAAGGTTTTCTTTTTCCTTGGCTCTTAGGCTCAGGCAGGGCAGAATACCATCATTTATTTTCTTTAGTGATAATGAGATTAGGTGGTATAGGCCAAGCTCAATGTCTTGTCAGAACTGAAAATTAAATTTAGAGAAAACAGAAGAAATAAAAGGAAATAACTAAGGATACCTATCTGTTCTTGTGCAGAAATTATGACCATGCAATTTAAATCATAGTGGGTGGACAAGGATGTCTTATTTACAGGCAAAGGTTAGAGATGTGGATCATCTATTCTGAAACATAAATCAATAGCTGCCATGTTTGGTCCTATACTTACATCTAAATTTTTTCTGCTTATTTCTTTTTCTAAATTATTATCTTTTAATTTCTTGAGAACTGCATTTTTGAAAACTAGAATGTGTAAAGACAATTCAAAACACACATGAAATGAATCATGTGAAAAAAGACCATGTTGAAGTATGCGTGTTGCTATGGTTTTGACATGGTTTAGCCTCCAGAGGTTCACGTGCTGGAAGTTTGGTCCCCAGTGTGTTGGTGGTGAGGTGGTGGGGCCCAGTGGAAGATAACTAGATCATGGGAGCACCACTCTCATGAATGGATTAATACTAGTCTAATGGGTTGGGTCTTGCAGAAGTGAATTAATTTTTGAGAGAGTAGGTTGTTATAAACCAAGGCCACTTTATATAATTTGTCCCCTCTGCACACACAGTTCATCACTTTCACACATGCTCCCACCAGTGTGATGCCACCCACCATGAGGCTGTCACTAGAGCTGAGCAGATGCTGGTGCCATGTTCTTGAAACTTCAGGAGGGGGAGCTTAATAAACCTCTTTTTTTTTTTTTTTGGAAAGTATCAGGGATTTTGTTGTAGCATCACTAAACAGACTAAGACAAGTATGGAATGCTCTTTGGCTAAAACATACTCTATCGTTTTCTTGCTGAATAAACTAATTTATAGAACAGGGGTTCTCACCTGGAGTCTTGAAGTTTCTCAGCTGAGAAGGAGTATCATAAACTTCAAGGATCCAGTCACCAGCAGCTCGTTCTCCCCAGCAGTGAATGGTCATGAACTCCCAGTTTTTAAATCCTTCCATGGAATGATCAAATAGCCTGAAAGAGAACCACAACCACTGTTGTATGCTCTATCAGATTCAGTGACAGTACATTGAAGGCCTCATCAATGGTCTTTTTGTATCCATCAGAGTGTTTAGGTAAGCTAAGCATGGAGCTTGACTTTATCTTAGGTCTCACCAACTAGTAGATCCATACATATATCATTGCTCTCCCACGAGCAAACTGACCTGGGACTGGCCATGCAATATCAAACCTCAGGGACAACCATTTGGGAAGCAGGTAAAGCAGGCCAAGGCTCCACCCATAAAACTTCAGTAGAATCACTGAAGATGTTGAGCAACTGGAACTTCTTCACATGCTTGAGGGGAATGTGAAAATGGCACAAAGGATCTGGAAGATAGTTTAAGAGTACTTATAGGGACAAACAGTTAACATAAAACTCAATGATCTCTTTTTCAGATATTCACCAAAGAGAAATGAAGACACATAGGTCCACAAAAAAAATTTCCATGTGGATGTCCATAATTGCCAAATACTAAAAACAACTCAAATGACCATCAGCTGGTGAATAGGTAAACAAATTACAGAATATGAATACAATGAAATACCTACCCAGTAACAAAAGACTAATGAACCACCAATATATACACTAACATGTATGAATGAATTTAAAAGCATTATGTTAAGTGAAAGAAACCACACACAAAAACTATATACCATATGATTCCATTTATACCAATTTCTAGAAACAGCAGAACTATAAGTAAAAAACAGATGAGTAGTTGCCAGGGACTGGGGAGGGGACATGAGAAGATGCATGGGACAAATTTTGAGGGTGATAGAATTGTTTTATAATTTGAAAGTAATGGTATATGGTTATGTAGCTATTTAGTTTGTCAAGACTCACAGAATTATTCTCCTAAAAAGGTGAATTGCATTATATAGAAATTATGGCTCAGTATCAAGACTGCCTGCTACTCTTATCCAGTTGAGATAGTCCTGCCTGGAATCCCAGCTAAGAGTCTGCTTTATTGGCCTTTCTAATACATTTTTAAGCTCTTAATTCCCTATATGAAATACCTTTCTGCTTGAAATAGCTAGAATTATTCTGCTTGCTGTGATGGAATCCTGAGGCATACAAAATGTGAAAGAAAATCCTTATTAAGGGTAAAGAGTTGTCAATAATGTGTAAAACCAGGTATAGTGAGAAACAGGCATATCATTTATATAGGTATCTATGCTAATAAATGTGACCACACAAATAACTATCCAAAAGGTGTCAAAGACATCTGTAAAGATGGAACATGCAAGTGGAAAGCAAATGATGGGGCAAAATACAGATGTTTTTACTGCTTTTCTTTTTTCAGATTATGTACATTTACTGTTTTATTGAAAAAAAAATGACAAAGTAAGAATAAGTTGAGGATCAAAGAGGCAAACAGAGAAGGAAAATATCTCTAGCTCTGTCTTAGGAGCAGTCACGTCCAGTTATTGCTTTTCAGAGGGAATGAGAGCTAAAGGCCATGGCAACTGGATGTTGGTGGCGATCAACTCTTCTTGCTTTAATTTCATGTTCCCCAAGTAACTTGTTACAATTTGACCTTCTATGTAGATCTTCCCTTTGGAAGGAAATATGCTCTTCTTCTATTTTTTCTTTTAATATTTTTAATTGTAGATGGAGACATTGCCTTTATTTTATTTATTTATTTTTATGTGGTGCCTAGGATTGAACCCAGTGCCTCACATGTGCAAGGCAAGCCCTGCAATCCAAGCTCATATATGCTTTTCTTAAAATTAAAAAAAAAACCCTCCAAAACAAAACTGCTTTAACTTCCTTAAAACTTGGTGTATTAGATATCCGATTTTTAAAAAAGCAATTCGATTAATGTATTTGAGGCTCCTTCTAAAATGTTAGTTGAATTCTGTAGCTGAAGGGTGCAGTAGTACAAATTTGGATGTGCTAGTGGGTGAATAGCTGACACCCTATTCCCTAGAGAAAGACAATAAACAAGAAAACCACCTGCTATGTGTTCCTGAGCCCTTCAAAGAAAGAAAATTAAAATTATTACACAGCTTTCTCAATTGTCTTTGTCAAAAATTCTGGAAAGACTGAATTAAACAAAATTACACAGATCCCTTTAGTGGAAAATAATTCAGATCTTTGGAATATGCAAATGTGCTTTGTTAATCTTCTTAATGGAGTTAATGGCAGGCAGTGATTTTCAAATCTAAGAGTAGGCTAATGAAGCCTCGTCTTTTTTTTTTCTTTAGAATATTCGTATGCTATCTATATAGGTTACCTCTTTGAACACAATTGTACAACACATCATTGAGGCCCACAGTGGATCTGGTGGTGTTCCTCTATAATGACAGGGATGTAAATGGTGTCTTCTTCTTGTAACTGTTTTACTACTATAATTGGTTCTCCATAGAGTCAGAATGGTACATTTTAGGGAGAATCCATGATCCAGTGCACAACCACAAGAAGACTGTTTTCTTAAGTTTATGGCTTAAGTTTATGGCTTACTTGGCCAAGAAAAAATTGCTGGGCCATTATGTAATGGACTATATCCACAGACTCCTTCACTGAAAACCCTAGGATGTGTGTATGCTGGGCAAAAGGTAACTCACAGACAGAGGAAGAGGAACTTTCTCCAGGTTGCCTTTCCTGTCAGGTATGTTACTGGGGGAAATGTGCTGACATGGAAATGGGTAGAGGCAAAAAACCAGTTTGAAGCCACTTCCTTCCTTACCTTCTGCAGCTCTAACTCACCCTCTAATTCCTTGAGGCCATGGTGCCATTCGAGGGCAGTGAAGCAATAACTTGTCACATAATACCTCTCCTAGAGTGCTGAACTTAAAAGCAGTTCCCAAACAGTTTAGACAGAACATTTGGCTCATTGCCTCACATCCAAAAACTACAAAGGAGACTCGAGGCTGCCATCACATGAGGGGCAGCCTTGTTTCCACAGCCTCAGCCAACTTCTAATTACTCACGGGTCAATTATTTCACTGCTGGATTAACAGCCCATGTTTCCTCCCTTCCACCCTTTCTTGTCCACCTTTGAAAACCACTCTCTTGCTACCATTCACTTTCTAATCACATTTGGGACAAAAACTTAAATATAAACAGGGTGCCAAAGAGAAATATTTGCAAATCACAATTCAAATCAGTGTTTCAAAGCTCAAATAGAAATGGGCTTTGTCTACATTTGCCTATGTCTGTGGCTAAGCAGTTTCCCAGCCCCTGGTTGCTTCACTTTACAGACTTGGAATGTTCATTGATTTTGTGTGAATATAAAAGTTGAAGAGAGAAATGAAAATGTAAGCCGAATGTGACCATTACTTTTTGCCAAAAGAGTTGCTGTTGAAAGAAACAGATACAGATTGTTGTGGTGTCAACCTAAGGGACAGTTATATTTCCAGTCTCAGCCTGTCTTTATAGGCACAGATGATTCAAATGGGGATGTATGCTTTCGTATTTTCATTCTGATTTAATATGTGGATTATTCCATATTTGGAGCATTGTACCATTTTAAAAAATTGCATCCTTTGTGTATAATAAAAGGCAATGTAGATTGTAGATTAGCTTGGTGTTGCAAAGAACATATTTGCCCAAAACAATCAAGTGTAAAACTATGGACATCTGTGAAGGAGGTAGTTGTGGGGTCACCCTTTATCAAGTTGATTGCCCAGTTTAAACATCTATACTGTGCCAACAGAGGGGAATCCTGATACATGCCAACATTATTAGTGTTGGTAAAGTATTATTAAAACAGAGGCAGTGTACTGAAAGTCAGAGTGGATAAACTCCATGTGTGGATTCTCTTCTGCTGTAGTGAAATCCAGTTTTGTCAAAGCTGACATAATTATGTGGATAAAACGATATATGTGGCACAGATTACACACCCAGTTATTAAAATGGTGCCCACAGCTCTATCCCTGAGAGCAATTTTCAAATAAGTTGCTTTAAATGAAGCCTGGGAGAAAAGACTTCCATTAAGTGTAGTACATCCTTTTGAGGAATTAACTCACAAAATAACTCATGCAATTACTGTAAGCTTTTTCCCCTTTCACTTACAGAGTTTAGCCAATGTATCAAGACTACAAAATTCCTTTATGATGATACGGCAGCTAAATAACAAGGCATTTAAAAATATCAATAGCCATGGGTTACCATATAATTATTTCTAAAATTGCAGGTGGATCTTTATTTTAGAATTACCCACAGCTACGTGAAGAGTATTTCTCACTATGAAATTAGACCAATATCCTCAGAAGATTTTCTTTTTCTATTTTATTTATTTTTTAATTTTTAAATGCCTCATTATAATTGAAAAGGTACAGCAGACTGAATGCCTGAAACATTCATTGGGTTCAACTGTAATTGAGTGTTCGGTTTTCTTTAGATGTTTGGTCTTTGTAATGTTTAGATCATTTGCTTCTGATAGAAGGTATTTAAAATGCACTATTTGTCTTTTCTCTTTCCTAATCTAAATTGCTTATTAAAGAAAGGTACTGGGTGTTCTAGAAGTTTGGAAAATCTGAAATGATGACTTTATTTATTTTGTCATTCACTAATCCCACATGCATTCCTTCTTGTGGGTATATGATATAAATATTGATCTTCTTGAAGCTTTATTCCATTTTGTAGTGGATGACTTTTATCTAAGAATCTGTTTTATATTATAGACTCCTTCGTAAATTATTTACACAACATCCAGTAGCATATTACTCACAAGTCTTGCTATGACACAAAAATATCAAGAATATGTGTGTGAAAAAGCTGAGTGAGCTTATATGGGGCCAAGGTGTGATCTATGGACAGGAAGCTTTACTCTCTCCTGGAAGCACGTTAGAAACGCAAATCCTGGGAGCTGACCCTAGACCTACAGGATTGGAACCTCAGGGATAGTGACCTGGCCATCTGTGTTTGATAGACCCTTTCACCAGGTGCTTTCAGAGGCACTGTGTAAACACTCCTTACTAAGTGCTTACCTTGCTAGGTACTGAGCTAAGTACTTGCTGTATGTTAT